TAGAATTTCGGCTTTAATCCTGGGAGTTGGAGAACGAAGTATGAATTTTCTAGGACGTGTAAAAATAGAGCCTTTATCGTGCTTATGGCCAGTCCCCGAACTTTTTTATAGCCATGCCTGCCTAAAAATTCACATACTGCCAGTACGGCTTCTTTTTGGGGAATCAAAGTATACAGATCTGTGATGTCAAATGTGTATATATTCGTCTCAAATGTTGTTTTAAAATATCTTAGGTGTTTGAGAAAAACTAATGAATTTGGAAGTGAGTAGTAAGTGTGTTTATCAAATAGTGGGCGGATATTCTGATCTAAGAAAGTAGATAGTTTTTCTAATGGGGATTTCATCCCGCTAACGATAGGTCTGAGTGGCTCTCCTATTTTATGATCCTTTGGGTTGTAGTATAGATGAGGTAATTCCGATTCTGTGAGTGAGGGTCTCAATTTTTCCATCATAGCTTGAGGCATCTGTTTACTTGAAACTAAACTCCGTAAAAATGCATCGGTTTTTTTTATCATATCTTCCAATGGTGATGTCGTGATCTCCACGTAAGCATTGGTTTTTTCCATGTACATTGCTGACTTTTGTATATAGCTTTCTCGAGTGTCTGCATGAAAAACTTTAGATTTGTCTGTTTCTCTGAATATAGCTTTTTTTTGTTTTTGGATTTTTTGAAAAAATCGTATAGCTGGTTCTATAGTAGAATCTCTTGGTACTTCTGTTGCAACTGTTTTTTTAATTTCTTCTTCTATGCGTTCACAAAATTTTGTTACTATGGGTGGTTCTCGTCCTACAGTTTTAGTCATTCTTCTCCACGCTGCTGAAATGTTTTCTTTCATTTGTCCTATTTCTTTAGGAAGACGTTTTAAAACTTGTTCTGGTGCTGGTGGTACGAATTTTGGTCCTAAGTTTAGTACTCTTGCTTCTGTATCTTGCAAGATAAAAGCCTTATTGTTTGCTTGAGGGGGGAAACTTATCTTAGTGTAATGTGGATGTAATTTTGCTTTTGAGAAACCTGGATGATGTCGGATTAGGGCGTGCACTAGTTGGCATTGGTTGCGCACGCCCTTTTTGCTAAAAAATTCAGTTTCTTTTTGGCAAATTGGTTATGTCTTATTTGTGCTACGTGAGTTAAAGTTTCATATGATTTTTGTAAGCAGGTTGGTAGATTCTTTATCATTTCTTCATATTCCTTTCTAGCTTGCTCTAATTCTTCTACTTTTGCTCGTCTCATTAAAGTTGTTAGGTCTAATTTCGTTTTCCTTAATACATTTTTCCATTGTTCTCGAAGTGAATTCAAACAAGGGTTGTCTGATTTAAGTCCTTTTGCATGTAATTCTATTTTATCGAAAATATTGAGGGATGGTGGTGGCATATTTTCTACAAATCTTCTCTCTAATTTATCTAATTGTAATTTAAGATCTAGTGTTCTCATAAACTTTTCATGTAAAGTCTGCATATATTGTTGTTCTGTTAACGTTGCTCTATGTTTAATTTGTTGTGTAGCTTTTTCTCTCATTTGATCTAGTAAAAGATTGTCTAATCTTCGTTGATCACTATTCTTTTTATTTTCAAGTGCTTTTTCAATAATATTTTTTACTAATGAAACTATTTTTGTCCATAATTGTCGAGAAAATGATGAATGTAGTTTTTCTTCTCTCTCATTATCTAATGCCTTATATTTATTTTCAAGAAATTCTTGATGATATTTTATTGTTTCGAATGTACATTTTTGTCTCATTCGTTTGAAATGATATCTACATTCGATGGGAATAATTGCAAAATCAAATGCAATATGTGCCGTTGTTATAGCATTTTTTGGTATTACCGATGGTGATCTTATTATGACTTCTGGTGTAGAATTTTGTAAAGGGGATATTATCATTGAAGAGTCTCTAGCTACATGAGCAATATGTGCTTGGATTTCTTGGTGTTCGTTTTCATTTTTCTTTTGTTTCTCTAATGGTATGAGTGCATTGAAAGAGTGTTGTTGTTGTTCTTTGCTATTTGTTTTTTTATCTTTGAAAACTGGTGATGATTGCAGGGATCCTCCAGTTAGTGGCACGTTATTATTTCTTGGTGGTAATGTCTTTCTTGGAATAACTGGTGGGGGTTGTCGTGGTGATGGTGGCGTGGGTGGATCATCTCGTCTGTGTCCTAATTTTCGTTTTTGCCCTGGTGTTGGTTCAGGCAACCATTCTTCGAAAAATTCTTCTTCAAATTCAGTAAAATCTAATGGAGCCGGTGGACCTGTTAAACCTATGGGTGATGGACGAGCAATAGGTAAACTATTATTTTCTTCTTCAATAACTGTTTCCATTTGTTCTACTGTTTGTGTTTTATTTGCTGCCGATGTCATATAAACTTTCCATTTTTTCGATTCCAATTGAAAATATTCAGTTTGGAAGTGAAGATTACTCAAGAGAAAAATATTTTCTTTTTCGCTTTCTAATTCTGCTGGTATTACAATTTTCCGAAAGAATTCTTCTTTGTGTCGTAGAAAATGTGGATAGTGAGTTATTAATACATTACTCGGTTTTTTTATTATTTGTTCTGTTGATGAATGGTAATTGTTGTTGTTTTCATTATTTTGATAATTGTATTTTCGTTGTTGTTTCTGTTGATATTGCTTTTGCTGTTGTTGTTGTTGATGTTGATGTTGCTGCTTTAGCTGATGTTGCTGTTGATGATATTGTTGTTGTTGCGTTTGCTGTTGGTGATATTGTCATTGTTGCCTTTGCTGTTGATGATATTGTCGTTGTTGCCTTTGCTGTTGATGATATTGTTGTTGATGTTGTTGTAGTAAATTATGATGTTGATGATGATATTGATTATCTTGATTATCTAAAGCAAAACGTTGACTTTGTGTAGTAAACCAATTATGCAGAGCTCTTTCAATAAGTATACGACCTGATTGGATTGATGGATGGAGTCCATCTTGATGCATGTGTTGATGTTGAAGATGAGCATTAATAATTTGAAAATTCATTTGTTGTGACAGTATTTGTAGAAGTCGATTAAATTTTTGATTGTTTTCGTCGATATCTAAAGAATTAAATAATTTTGATGGTTTCCATCGTGGTGAAAGAGCAAGCCAACCGATGGCTTTTATTCGAGGTAATAATTGTCGTACACGTTGAATTAAATAATGACATTGTTGGATAGCAAGATCGGGTCCTAAATTAGCAACATCATTGGTACATAAAGAAAAAACAATAAAATCCGTTTCAAATATATCATTTTGTTCAAGTTGTTGTTTCTCTAAAAAATTGACCATTCGACTGCAGTCGCAGCCGGATTCAAAAGATACTTTTACCTTGATATCATCTATACTTATTTGTTCTGGACGTACATATTTGCACATTGAATCAGATAAAACTAATCCATTGAATTTATTTAATGTTGTTGGTTTACTATAATTAACATGTTCATAACATTTTATCTCATAATTTGGAATTGATTGAGTTTGATATTTATATTGTTCAGCATGTTGAAAACTTCGACGACTTTTTCGTGGTGGTTGTTGGAAATGATCAAGCGACATGAGAGAAGGTATTTTTTGATTATTTGTGTTATTAGAAGAATTAATATGTGTAACATTATCATTTTGTGGTTTTGATTGAAAACAATTAGATATATTTGTATAGCCAGAAAATGTAGTAGTTGAACCTGTTTGAAATTTTTTATAAGGATGAAAATCTTTTCGTTGTGTAGCACCATAAAGATTAGGTTTTTTATTAACATGAGGACGTAAATGAATATAAGATGCTGTCGTTAAGGAAGGTGGTGGTCGAGTAGCAGACATATGAGCAGGACGATGATTAATATTTTGATTATTAAAGGGTATATTCATGTTGACTCTTTGAGCGAACGTATAATTTGGTTATGGTTCGACGACAATATATATATAACAATTATTTAAATTTGACAAGTCAACATGTATATTTTGCAAGAATTTACTTTTCGTTTTTTTAATTTTTTTGATTTAGTTTTATTTTTAATTTTTAATTTTTTGTTTTTTGTTTTTTGTTTTTAATTGAAAAAAAGATATGAATAATAGTAAGAAAGAGAAAGAATAGAAAAAATAATCAAGAAAAGAAATAGAGAATAAATAAATAAATAAATAAATAAATAAAGTTTTATTAACGCGAGGCCTTTCGAATTTTTAATCTTTTTCAAGCGAGTGTATGGTTTCAAAATAATAAACAATGTGCGTTGCGATGCGTATCAAAATAATAAATAATGTGCGATGCGATGCGTAGTTAAATTTCACATGGGATGCGATGCGTAGTTAAAGAAAGAAAGAAAAAACGGGATAAGATCGAGTAAATGAGCGAATTTATGTGTATTGTTAATACTATTAGGTAAGGTTTAGGCTTTTTGGAGTATTAAAAATTGGAGTATTAAAAATTGATGTTAGCTTCGATTGAACTTTTCGAAAGAGGGAAAAAGAAAAATCGATGTTTTCAAATAAGGTCCAACATTTTTAATCAGAAAAAAATAAATATATGCTCTCAGGTAAGAATCAAGTAAGAATCAAGTCTTTTTGAATAAAAACTATGTTGTGCGAGACGATTTGACCTTTCAAAATAGAAGAAAAGAAAAAGAGAGAATGAATGTTCTTAACTAAGATTCAACATTTTTAATTAGACCAAAAATAATAATAATAAATTTTCTCAGCTATGATGTGACAGTTTAAAATAGAAAAAAATGTAAGTCTTCTCTGTTCAGATTCAATACATTTTTTGGAATAGAAAAAACAATAGATGTTCTCGACTATGATTCAACATTTTTCAAATAGAAAGAAAAAAAGAACGAGTGATGAATGTTCCGATAAAAATAATAAATTTTCTCTGCTATGATCTAACATTTTAAAGTAGAAAAAAATAATAAGTGTTCCTAGTTTAGATTGAATACTTTTTGAAATAGAAATAAGAATAGAAAAAGAATAGATGTTCTCAACCATGATTCAACATTTTCAGATAGAAAAAAAGAGTGAGTGATAAATGTTCCCAGAAAAACAATAAATTTTCTCTGCTATGATCTAATATTTTAAAATAGAAAAAAATAATAAGTGTTCTCAGTTCAGATTCAATACTTTTCGAAATAGAAAAAAGAATAGATGTTCTCAACTATAGTTCAACATTTTCAAATAGAAACGAAATATAAATGTTCTCAGCTGAGATTCAATATTTTTAAATAGCAAAAATAAATACTTTTCGAAATAGAAAAAAGAGCGAGAATAAAATGTTGTCAACTATGATTCAACATTTTAACATAGAGAGAGAAAAAAAATAAATAAATAAATAAAGGATAAATGTTCTGAGCTAAGGTTCAACTTTTGTTTAGTAGAAAAATTATGTCGTTGGATAATGTTCAACGCTTCAAAGCACATGTGATTGAGCAAAGTTACGGATTTTTTGATAAAGGGAGTAGGCAAATATATGTGATTCGATTATTCTTTAAATTACTGATGATCGTATACCTTCTCGAAGGAGATCTCATCGGGTTTAGGGCGAAATAGAGTGAGGAAGACTGGTGTTATTTTTAGTGTGTTGAAACGGTAGGAACGGAAGGAATTTTTACAGCTTCTTTATCGGGTCTTTTCTTTACTAATAGATGCTTTAAGCTATCGGTAAGTCTGTTAGCATATAGAACAGGTATGTCGTCGAGTGGTGTTCCTTCGAATATCTCTTGCCAAATTTGATGAAAGTGAGAACCGAAATGGGCTAAGGATGGAGCGTATGTAAAGTGGACGAGGATGTCTCTACTAAAGTCTATTTTTCTTTTTTCTTTCTTATTCCACGTTATGTCCAATACTGTTGCTCTGAATTTTTCGTGACCACTGCCCAGTAGTGTCTTTGATGTTTTTTCTCTTGTTAGATCGTTAAAGAAGCGTCCCATGTGCCTGTCTATGAAAAGTGGTGGATATTTATTCAAAAGTAATGTAATTCTAATTTTTTCTAGCTCTTGTTGAAGATCTTCGGAGTGTGAGCATATACGAGTTGCTCGTAGGGTAGCTGCATATGGTATGTTGCGAGTGATGTGAGGAGGGTGTGATGAATGAAAGGGAAGAATATAGGGTTGTGCTGCTAATTTCCGAAACACTGTCGTTCTGAAGTTGGGGATCTCTATGGTTGCTTTCACATCAAGGTATTCAATTGTTTTCCCTCCTTCCCATGTAATACTTATGTTGGAGTCCTTTTTGTTCAGCTGTGTTAAGAGTTCTTCCATTCGTTCTGAAGGTAGCTTGGTGGTTAAGAATATGTCATCTCGAAAACGAAAATATAATTCTCCTTGTTGATGTTGCTGATCTGCGAAGGAGCTTTCCCATTTTCGAACGTAAATATCAGCGAGCACCTGAGTGCAAGTTGAACCCATTGCTCCTCCTCTAACCTGCTTGTAGAATTTCGGCTTTAATCCTGGGAGTTGGAGAACGAAGTATGAATTTTCTAGGACGTGTAAGAATAGAGCCTTTATCGTGTTTATGGACAGTCCTCGAACTTTTTTATAGCCATGCCTGCCTAAAAATTCACATACTGCCAGTACGGCTTCTTTTTGGGGAATCATAGTGTACAGATCTGTGATGTCAAATGTGTACATATTCGTCTCAAATGTTGTTTTAAAATCTTTTAGATGTTTGAGAAAAACTAATGAATTTGGAAGTGAGTAGTGAGTGTGTTTATCAAATAGCGGGCGGATATTCTGATCTAAGAAAGTAGATAGTTTTTCTAATGGGGATTTCATCCCGCTAACGATAGGTCTGAGTGGCTCTCCTATTTTATGATCCTTCGGGTTGTAGTATAGATGAGGTAATTCTGATTCTGTGAGTGAGGGTCTCAATTTTTCCATCATAGCTTGAGGCATCTGTTTACTTGAAACTAAACTCCGTAAAAATGCATCGGTTTTTTTATCATATCTTCCAATGGTGATGTCGTGATCTCCACGTAAGCATTGGTTTTTTCCATGTACATTGCTGACTTTTGTATATAGCTTTGTCGGGTGTTGGC